GTGGCGTACGACCCATGGCTGACTGGTCTTGGATCCGTTTGGGTGATCGGCCATAGAAGTCCATCAAGGCTGACTCCACAGCCCTCTTGAAGATACTCGCAGTAGTGGAATACCGCCGCTTTAAAAAGGATTTGCCTGCGACTGACATGATGTGTGACTCTGTGAACCCCCCTTACTACAGTAGGTTGATTGGTACTGCCCGTGGCAGTCGGATGGTGGTGGTATATCACATCGATCATAATCAACCGATCTGTCGAATGTAGGGGGATGTCACCAACCCTTTGGACGATTGCTGGTATGGCCAATTCTGGAAAAGCATCCGGAGAAATGGGCATAATATGTAGGGCTTCGATGCAGTTGAACGGAACTCTCAGTGCGTCCGCGATGGTGTGAGACGGCTGGGCGAGCTGTGCGTTAACCAACTGCACCACAGTGTCCATGCCATCCATTTGATAGATGTGCAGGGGTGTGGTGAACTGAGAGGCAGCTGTGGCAACATGTGACTGTACATCATCACTGGCCGCATTGGAAGCATGCTGTGTGGTCCCTCCAGAATTAGTATCAGTTGATGATCCCGCCTGTGAGTTGGATTGCAACGCTAGCTGCGCTGGGGTCGAATGGATCTGCAGTTGGAACCCATCACCATGGGACATGACATGCTGCGGTCTCAATGTGTAGGGTATCACTTGCCAACCAAAAGTCACAGTGCATTCTTGGTAGCTGCACATGGCAGCTGCATCGGCTGCCTGGGCGATGTCAAAGCCGCTGACATCCGTTTCGAAGGAGGCTGCAACTGAGAACATGTCAAATGAGGCGGAGCACGACGGAAAGACAGTGACCAAACCTGCGTACCTGTCAAGCTGAATTGATTGTGTGACAACCACATCCATCATGATAAAGCTGTGCCTGGGTGGTCGAGGAGGATCACCATGAATAATGGTGACATCAAACCATTCATCTGGGGTTTATTTGATCTACCCAAATGGAACTGATTTGCGCCTCCCAACCTTGTGGCGGCCCAACTAGTTGGAGGTTTCGGGGGGCAGTCCATCTCCTAATGGTGGCATGGTCAATATACCAGGTTCGGAGTGGAACCTCAAAGTCTCCATCATGGATATCAAAACCCATCCGAGTGAAACGGTTGGACAAGTCAGCGACAAATGCAGGCGGAACTGGCGGTTGATGACCCTGTTGATTGGGTCCAGGGTCAGCTGGTGGCTGATCTGCCGGCATGCGAGCAACCAGGTCAGTGATAGGACTCTCATGTTCCAGACGGCACTGTCGGATGAGCTTGGTGTGTCCTAAATCACAGTGGTTTCTGGATCGGATGCCTGACTGTACAGTGCGGAAACGGGTTGCTACTGCAGTGCACTCTGAGCAAGATCCTGAACGGTCGCCCACTTGCAGTGTACCCTTACAATGCTGCAGCCGTCCATGCTTGGAACCGGTGGCCTTCTGATGAACCACTTCTTGGGGAGGTGCATGCAAGTGCAAAATGTCTTGACCCTGACGTTGGGGACCCTTAATCACAAGGTTGTCAATCCGAGTGCAAATACCTAGGATGGGAGACACGTCAACTTGAGAAGGGCGATGTCTGTGCCTTGGGGATGGTACAGGCAATCCCAAATCAACCTCTGCTAGTGATGGAGGACAAAGACTACCTGGATCAAACAAATCGACAAAACTGGCATCAACCTGAACTTCGCAGGGGCCGGCATCAGCGTTTGGATCGACAGGTGGTGACTGGGTGAGGCTCTGTACACAGCATGGATCAACCTTAGTGTGAAGGCATCGGGCATTGTGCAGTGCTCTGATGCTATTGACTTCACCGGGATCAACAGGCTTTGCATGGCTCTTACCACTAACTGTAGGTGAAACAATTGACCATGGTTTGTTTGACATGGTAAGTGATTGAGATGGCACAGTGATGGCAAAAAAGGTCTGATCTTCGTCAAGGCCTATGAACAATTGGACATTTTCGTCAAAACTGACCCTAGCGACCTTGGGTTTGGGATTTGAGCTCCTTGGGACAAAGCCTGTCACATGCATGGCGGATGAAGCCAGTTGAAGATGTGAGTCATTGACTTCCGCTGCTAAGTGAAAAGCAATGTCCTGGGCTGTCCATTCATCAACAAAGTCGGTTTCGGTCAAAACTGTGTGTTGCCATTTGATGGTTTTCCAAAAATTGTCCTCAAAATCCATAGTGTTGGGTTGAATTGGAAAATTACACCTTTGGACTTGGGACATGTCAACGGACGCATCACAGGCAAAAGAATACTCGAGCAGGTCACTACCTAAGGTTGTCCACGAGATGTTTTTGCTCTCAAGATCAAAATCGCTGTCAGGATGGCTTCGAAACTGAACAGGAAACATTGAGGGCAAACTGTGAAGACCCTGGTCAAAATTGGAAGCAAAATCGGCAGTGTCTGCATGATATCGATGGCCTGGTTGGTATCCCCAGTGATGCATAGGGGGCCAATGAGCAATACATGCTGTGGGTGTATTTACTCGCCCTCGCCAAAACCTGGGTTGTGTGGCGTCTCTTTTTCTTTTTCCTTGCTGTTGGGAGATTCTACTCTGGGCCTCTTGCGGTCCTGCTGGTCCACTTCTTGTTGCACCGCTTGGACTGCTTGGGTGTGGAGGGCCCGCAGATTGTTGGCCAGGTCCTGAAAGCTCGCCGCAATTTTCTCTCCAGCAGCTGACTCGTGTGCCTTTGCAGGGATGTCCTCTGTGTCGCTGGTCATGGCAGCATCTTCTTTGGGGACCACCCTGGCAGCTGACTGGGAGCTGCTGAGGTTCTCCTTTGCAATGGCCAGATTTTCCTGAGCTACTTGAAGGCGGTCCATGAGCTGTTTCTCCTGGGACATGAACTGGTTTGTATACGCAGTCCATTGTTGAACTGATTGTGACAAGAAGTTCTTCCAAGCCACATGCATGTTCAGCCTGGCGGCCTGTGCATCTGCGATCTCCCGCTTTGCTCGGCCGTGTTGTGACACCGCCGCATGGAGCTGTTTGGTTTCCTGCTGACCAGCACAGATGGAGACATCCTTCATCAAGGCCTGAACATCGTCTGGCAGAGCGTCTTGGTGCTTCCTGAGTGCGGCAACCAGTGAGCGCATCTGCTTGTCCTTGTCTTTGTCGTCTTTGGTCTCCGACATCTGAGATGAGGAAGGGCCTAGTGACATGCTGGGCGCGGCTGTTGAGGCTGTCATCCAAGGTGGTTCCAAGGAGGGCATAGCAGGCAGCGATTGTGGACCATACTGCACCTGGTCGTCTGCATGCTTCTGCTTGCCTTTTCCTTTTGCATGTGGTCCTTGTTTCCCTTTTTTGGATCTCTGCCTTGGAGACTGCCGTCTTCTGGGAGATTTGATCCACTGCGCCTGTTCCCAATGGGGTTGCTCTTCCCATTGGTCGTTGTTCCATTGCACTGTTCTTGGGGTGGTTGGACGAGCCGGAGGAACAAAATTGGCGTCCATTGTCACCTTCCATGATTGGCCACACCTGGCACAGTGTTCGTGTTTTCCACTGCAGATACGCTTGCAGGGGAGGCATTTCCAAGGTGCTGGGGTTGAGTAGTCCATCTGTGATTGGATCTTCTCCAGCACTGTTGGGTCTTGCGAGTGGTGGCTTTTCAAAATCTTGTGCACTGCGGCTAATCTCCAGGTGGGCAAAGGACAAATCCCTTTGCGATGGAGGTACCAGCTGAGCCGGGCAGAAGACCGTTTCCTCCTGTCCGCTCTTCTCTTTGTGTTGGTTGCCGTCTCTGCTCAAAGAGTCCGACAGAACCAGTGGAAAAACGCTGATATAGTCGCAAGCCAAGCAAAATGAGATGATGAAGGTGGTCAAAACCGACAAAATTGAGCACATCCACAATGAGCCAGTAGGAACAATGCAGTGTACGGGAGCTCACCCCTGAAAATAAATAAGGCTGGAAAACACCAGGGCTATACCAGATCAGTGTAATCCAAAATGATGTTGTAAATCAGGTGTAAAAGGCCCACCTGCAGAAGCCACACAATTGGGAAAACGCAAGGCTGACCTGCAAATTCCAGAGATTTGCAAAATCGGGAAAAATCAACCAATGTAGCCAGAGTTGTACCAAAAAGTGTAAGTTCCAATCAAGTGTTAGGCACACTTGCAGAAGCCCCTGTAGTGGATCACGTTGAAAAGATGAAAGGGGAAAATCACCGCAATCAAAATTCCCAGAAGCAGTACAGGACCAGTGTTGGGCACACTTGGAAAGCCGATGCAAAGGGTTTTTGCAATAGAGATAACCCCGAACTCAAAGGCGACGCTGAACAACCAGCGGGGCCCGTGGGCGAAGAAAAGCCCACTAAGGTCAATGGCTATCCCACACGAAACAAAACGGAGTAAGCGAGGGGAATGCACTGAGCCAAGACCTTTGGGAAGGATGACATCCCATATATGAAATGGAAAATAAAATTCATGTTTGAACGCACCAACCAGCCATTCTATTGGTATCCCAGATTTTCAGACCCACATACCATAACTAACAATAATACCATAGCTAAGAATTTGCTATCCCATCCCATATGCTCAATGTATGGAATATTTACCAACATTTGCCCAAACAAAATCACCCAGTTTTGTAGGTAAATATACCAGCACCATGGAGCATATGGGCATACAGCAATTAGTGGAAAACCAATCATAACATTCCTTAGTGGGTCAAAAACACCATCCCAAAAGAGTGTTGCACACCGAAACCATCGCAACGATGGTGGATGTAGGGGATGAAATATAGAGAGAAAATCAGGCATATTCATGACATATAACATGATATTTACCAATTTTACCACAATTATATCCCTATTATACCTATTATATAACTATTCATCATAATTACTGTATATAACTATTACCCCTATTATATGTCCCTATGATAATAGTTATTGAGGTACCCATTATATACTATTATCTATTATTGGGTTTACCTCATCATCTTCCAAAGCCCGGCATCACGAATTCCGCCAAGTCTCAGAGATGAAGCACCTGGAACTGAAGAATGAACATTGGTTTAAACCCATGATAATGCTGTTCATATATGGGTTGATACAATGGGTTTTAATATATATATATATATATGTACATATATATATATATTAATGGATTGTTCCCATCAGGATATATATATATATTAATACTACATATATGGGTTGACGGTTGGACAATCCATTGTAAATATATATATATATATATAAATCCTGATAAGATGGGGAAAGAAATGATGTCACGTCACATGTTGCATACAAATATAGTCCGATCCAGGCGATCAACATTTGGACATCTACTGAACATCAGCAAATCATGAAGATTTACCGAGCAATTGAACGGTGATTTGATGGTTAAATCCAGCCATGTCGGCTTCAATTTGTCAGACAAACCCTTTGCAGTGATTGTTCTTGTTTTTTCAGACTTTTCAAATTGCTCCAGCTTGAGATTTTCTGGCGGGTGGTATACCTACCCCTCTGAAAAATATGCGTTCGTCAAATGGTATCATTATTCCCAACAGAATGGAAAGTCATAAAGACCATGTTCCAAACCACCAACCATGATTATTTATGAGGATAAACCATATTCATGGATAAATACACCATTATTGTGGATAAACCACATAATTATTGGTACAATTTAAGTCCTTTCACCAAGGCCCCCCCATCGATTCTCAGGAAACCAGCGATTCTCAGCGATGATCCCAACCCCCCATTTTGAATGGGTCACCTTGCTACAGAATAAACACACGAAACATTTGGGTGTTGAAGCCATCCGAAAACATGGCTTAATTGATCTTAATCGAGAATACCATCTGGTTATTTAACATAACCATGGGAAATCCCTCATAAATGGAGGTTTCTAGATGGGAAAATCATCTATTTCTATGGGCCATCTATACCATGGCTATGTAACAAATAACCAGAGGGTATCTTCCAGAATTCGATTATGGCAAGCTGGGAAATCCACCATAAATGGAGGTTGATAGCTGGCTAAACGGATCTAAACGGTGTATTTTCCAGCTAACATTGTCCAAAAACCACCGCCAGCTAGTTCCCAAGTGATATTCTTATTGGTATATCAGCTATATGTTGCCAATTATATAACAGTTGCATTACAGTTGCTGAATTGTGGATGGTTAAAAACTATAACCAACATCCAGTTGGTTGACCGGCATTTCGGCGAAATCCCCAACAGTGTTCATAGTGTTGATCCCTATTTGTGGCTAAATCCCTGTAGCTACCCTCCGGTGTCGTCAAACGTGGCAAACTGGGAAATCCCTGATCAAAACATATCAAAACGGTGATTTCAATGGAACATAATCGAACTAATATGAGCTAAGTAAATATGGATTTCTCCAGCTAGGCATGCTTGATTGATATATTTTGATTTTCATTGTTCCACTATATCACGATATCAGTTATATCCCTTCTATATCAATGTTTATTAATGCTGGCTATACATATATTGACCATATATTTTGATACTTATTGTCCCATGACCCATGATATACTCATCATATCCCCATTATCCCTGTTCATCATATAACCCATATGCTCAATGTATGGTATATTTACCAACATTTGCCCGAACAAAATCACCCAGTTTTGTAGGTAAATATACCAGCACCATGGAGCATATGGGTAATGCTATACCCAGCTAGCCATGTTTGATGAAACCGGAGGCGCTCTGCACCTGGAGGAAGCCAACAAATCTCCGAGAGATCGTCGTCCAAACTCACCACATAGGCGCCTACCGGATAGTCCCAAACGAAATTTGTTGGGTTTATGGTGGATATACCCTCTGGTTAGCCATGGAAAATGGCCCATTTATAGATGGTTTGCCTATTAAAAATAGTGATTTTCCATGGCTACGTTACATAACCAGAGGGTAACCATACTTAAAAACTCAACGGGTTTCTAAGCAAACTTATAACCGGGGGGGCTCACCTTGTATAAACCCTATATACATGGGATAACCCACTAAGCGGTCTTACTAAGAAGGTTTATCATCTGATACTAAAAGTAGGATGATCCTCCAAGTAGCGAAACTAGGCATTTGTCGCCGCATATCATCATGTCAATCCTGGATTCAGTTTTTCCCTAGTCTTAGAATTGCACAGCTGGGACCACACAAATGATTTAAAAAAACCTCAATCCCATGCTGTCCCAACATTTATTTTCATTCAAGGAGGTTTCCTAAATTTGGGGGTACCCCAACTCATCCAAGTCATTAGGCGAGTGTAAGATTTGAACAACCCTTTTCTTGTGTCACTGTGGGGCTGCCAATGGCGATGGAAAGGTGGGCTAAGTTGCCTGAACAAAAATCATGGCCAAAAATGTTTCTTCGAGAGCCTCCATGTATAAGAGTAATTGAGGATGGGGACCCTGGCACGACACTTATCTGGGGATGGGTCAAAACCTATTATTGCCAAATGACTGGGGGAATAAACATCCATTAACCAACTATTTTAGTGTACCTAGGGTCCCTGGGTTTTGACTCATAGTCATTTGACTTATGTCATACCGAACATGGCAAACGAACATGGCATACTAAACATCCCGCACACATTGCATAGGTGATGTGGCTGAACATGAGAATGTAGTCCAGCCCCACAGGCGAAAGGACCATGAGTCATGAGAGTGTGGAATATACACTAAGATTAAGTGTTTCCCTTAAAATTGACAGCTAATCCCAAGGCAAAAGTCCGAAAACTTAATCTTGGAGGGAATACAAATCCTCCAACTATATCCAAATTACACCGGCAAGAGGCCCCACACAGTGTGGGGGGTAGGAAGCCAATGTACCAGACACAAGCCACAGTAGCCACGGAACAGTAACAGATGAGGTTAGACATTATCGCAACTGCAGCAGCAGGACCTTCTGTGTAGATCTACAAAGAGGAGCTCAGAAGATCTTCATACAAGAATTTCCCAAGAGCATCCGAGAGGATACAAGCACCGACGCAGAGGATCTTCAAGATCTTCATGCAAGGACCTCTTGAGGAGGATTTCAGCAGGATCTCCACAAGATCTTCTCACAAGAATCTGGGCCAGATCATGTAAGGACACCGAAAGGATTTCACAAGGACCTCTCCAAGAGCTTCTCACAAGGACCTGGACAAGATCATGCAAAGGCCTCTTCGCACAAGGAATTGTAAAAAACCTTGAGCAAGATCTTCATGCCAGGAACCCTATAAGAGGCAAGATCGTCATAAAAGGACCTGCTGCTGCTGGAGCGGACCTTACAAGATCTTGACACAAGAAGCTCCCCAGAGGCTCCCACAAGAGCTTTCATACAAGTACCTCTAAGACATGACATCTGCAAGCTCCTCATGCAAGGGCCTCGTAGAGAGGATCTCACCAGGATCTCCACAAGACCTTCTGTTAAGGACCTGTACAGGATCATGCAAAGACCCCCAAAAGAGCCTGATTATCGGAGAATTTACAATGTAAATGCCGCAGGCCCAGAGCTTGAGAACCCCGCGGCGCAGACTTTGCGCGAGCCTGCACATGGGCTTGTCACAAGAGCCATTTAATGCGAGAATTTACAGGAAAAATGCCGCGCCTCAAAGTCGCAGGGCAGACTTTGCACGAGCCTGCACACGAAATGCACTTGGACAGCTCAGACTCTCAGACGAGTCATTTTATGCGAGAATTTACAGGGAAAATGCCGCAAGACAGATGGAGCACCCTGATCTAACCGCGGCCTTAACACCTACCGTAAGAACCCCTCAGTGTGAACACACTGTTTGGGGAAAAATAACACGTGAAGCTGCGAAGCCTTGATTCACCAATGTTTACCGATAATGATTATTGCTGTCCTCGAGGAACTTTTGACGCTTCGCCTTGTTGATGTCCACGGGCTTCATGTCCCTCAAGAAGGACCATGCGGTCTGCCTCGCGCAGTTGAGGCTTTCCTGCTGATCGAGGCCCAGAGGGAAAACACCTCTGAAGCCGTCATGATTGCCTGGCCCAATTGCTCATGCAGAGCCATCTGAGGTCCGGGTGGCAGCTGGTGGAACGTCAGCGCGCTTTTGGCTGGTCAAACTCTCAACTTGTTCTATCGGTATCGCTGTTTCAGCCAACCATGTCTGGACAAAACCCATCAACGTTTGTATATAAAGGCCCAACCCTTATTGGTGAATATCCCTTTTCCATATTGAAGACCCCCAGAAACAGTGGATGTAGGGCTGAAATCAGAATGGGGGTGCTTAATAGGATCGGGTGATGGAATCCTCCATGAATGTATGCCAATGTTTGATAGCTTTATTTGCGATGCATAATCAGAACCCTAAAAAAACAACAGCCGAGGTTAACCAAACACAGTTTGTATCTCAAATTCTTGTGCCTCGCATCCTCCTAGTCCGTCTCCTCGTACATGCCATCATGATGACTTTCTGTCGACTTTGCAGCGGCTCGTTTCGTTCAGACGATCCAGCGCTGCACGTCAGCGATGTTGGTGACGTCGCGCGTGGGAGCATGGTTTGCCTCCAACTCGAGCAGGCCTTGTTTCTGGATGCTTCAAACAAAATCGGGTAAACCAAAATCATTGGCTTCCCCACAGCAAATATCAACAAATGACAAAGTTTGGATGATTTTGGGGTCTCCCGCTTAAGAACTCTCCATATTATGGGTTTTCCCCACTTCCAATGGATTAAACCATATTATAAAACCTCCAATTTTCCCTATATTCACTGGTCGTCTCAGGAACCGATTTATTGGAGGTACCTAGCATATATAAGACCTATGTAAAGGTTATGTAAGGGAATACCCCTACAAAATATTGCCTTACATGGTATACAGTACCTCCATTTTAGGGTTCCCATTAAATATTGATATATTAAACTTGCTATTTAGGGGTTTACCCCATTCGACGCACCCATCTAGCCATCGCATGCCATCGCTACCCCGTTCTGTGAGACCGCCTTCCTCCATGCACCGAGTGATGTGGTTCCGTTGTTCCAATATGCCAGGCCTGAGCACCCCGAAGCCCATGGCATGGGCACGTCAAACATCAACAGCACCTGTGAAATCAAAAAGGAAATGCACATAAGGCATATGGTTACTGTAAGTTTAATTACATACAATGTGAAGTCCCCAAGATAGCTAAGTTGGTGCACATAACTCATATAACTATGGTTTATGGATTTATGTTAATCAACAAGAACATTTTTTGAGTTGAAACGGACATGCTCAATTTCTGTTGATATTTAATTGATATTTCTGGCGATTTGAAACCATCAGGTATGCTCAATGGTTGCTCCAATTTTTGTCGGGGGTTTCCATAGTCATAGGGGGATCCCCAATAGCTGGATGGTTGATTTCACGGACAAATTAGAAAATCACATGGATTTGGAGGGTACCCCCCAATTTTAAGGGAAACCTCTACAATGTGAGGCCCCCGTTCGGAATCGCTAAGTTGGGGCTCACATAACTCCAATTTCACTATGGTTTATGGTACGCAAATAACGAACTAGGCTTTTGTTAACCAACGTTCACATTACTGGGAGGCCTCACATTGTATGAACATCCCCAAAAAATAGCCATGCGACCCAAACAGACTCCCCCTATAGCCAGATCCTTGTTGGCTTCGTTGGTGAAAGAATGCGGGTAACGAGCGAAAAAAATCTTCAACATCAAGGGTAATGGTATGCTGTAGATCCTAGAACATCTGCAGGAGCCTCAGGAGACCCGACATTTTTTGGGAAAACCATTGGTTTGAAGCTTTTTTTCCCTTCAACCACCTATTGTATAACCCTAAACCAATTGATTTGTGGGAAACATGCAGGAAGACAATTCTTTTTACTATGTTCCCCCTAAATGTCGGAGGTTCCTGTAAATATATGTAAAGTTATCAATTGTTATAGTTATCAACAAAAACGACAATGTTATCAAGTGTCGTGGGGATAAAAATTAAGATTTATATATATATATATGATATAGTAGTAGGGTCGTGCAAAATTACCCAAACTTTTACCATTGCATTCTGATAGCAAATCAATTCAACTTAATTCATTAAGAACGTCGAATGTCGAATTTACGAATCGACATGATCCAGATTTTAGATACCGATTTGCGTAGTTTGATCATGTTTTCCCCCAAATCTGCGACTACCCTCTGGTCATTTAACAGTTTGCTATTGAAAATGGCCATTTATAGTGAGTTTTCCCATTGAAAATTGTGATGTTCCATCGTTTTTTGTATGTTTACCAGACGATAAACCACAGCACTTCCGGGATCCACCAAGGCGACCAGGCACCCGAACACACCAACTTTCAAAGCAATTTCGCGCGCAAAAACGTCCAAGCGCAACGCCTCCTGCACCGTGGGGGGCCACGGAGGCCACGGACGGAACATGATCAAAGCTCCTTAAAAAGCCTTTCTTTGGGAACCAAAAATGCATTAGAACATATAAGTGGTTACCCCTAAGTCATCCATTTTAATCAGTTTTTTCATGATCTACATATATGAACATATATACGCCAAAAAAATCATCTGGTTGTGGTATACCTACCCATCTGAAAAATATGAGTTCGTCAGTTGGGATGATGACATTCCCAACTGAATGGAAAAATAAAAAATGTTCCAAACCACCAACCAGATAAGAACCAGTGTTTGCCTTTTTTCCCGGATTCACCAGCATAATAGTTGCCATGGTTTTTGACCCACACCCGTATGTTTTGGATCGTTTAAACAATTTTAAAGGTAAATGTTGATGAATGTGGCAGCTGCGACAATGCCCGACCAAACGCCGACGTTCCCCAACTGCAAGAAACACCACTTCTCATTTTTTTTGAGGAACGCCTGGCGTAAAACACATGAAATGCCAGGTCTTTTGAAGCTTTTGTGGAAAGTTATACATGGAGGTTTCCACAGTCATGGGGGTACCCCAATAGCTGGATGGCTTGTAATGGAAAATCCTATCAAAATGGATGATTTAGGGGTACCGCCAATTTTAGGAAACCCTCATATGGATCCACTTTTAGGTATCATGCAGAATATGCCTGGCGGTTTGTTGATTTCCTAGTAGAAATTTCACTTTCGGTGAGACAGGTTGTGGGCCGACCTGGCTGATAAACTTAGTCTATGGCTGGACACCATGAAGAAAAAATGTTCACCCTCCGGTCATCAAACATGGCTAGCTGGAAAATCACCAGTTTATGGATTTATGGATGATTTTCAGCTATGAACTATAAACCTCCATTCATAGGGGATGTCCCAGCTAGCCATGTTTGATTACCAGAGGTAACTCTGGAAGACTCCATGAAAAATACGTGGTGTCTAATGTACAGCATGGACAACCCATCCCCCTAGATAGCTAAGTTGGTTTAGTTCGCTAGGTAAACTATGGTTTATTGTAGATATAACTATGGCCCATTGCTAATTGTGATTCTTATAACTAGGGGGCCAACATTGTTACCTTTTCTCCGCAGCAAACTGAAACTGCGCCAGGAACCAGGAATATGTCCAAGACACATTCGCAAATTGAGCAGTGTTCAATACCCTTTGCCAATCCGTCATTATGGTGGGTTACCCTCTGGTAAACTAACATAGCTATTGAAACATGGCAATATATAGTTCATTTAGCCATTAAATATGGTGACTTTACATATATAGTTATGTTAGTTTACCACGTGGTAAGATGATGACAATCCCCAATCTATTGGACAGTATGACCCTCTACAATCATCAACCAACCATTCATTAATTATATCCCCAATGTTTGAATGTTAAACCTCAGAAACACATCATAAAATCATGTATATATATATATGTACATATGTACATACATACATACATACATACATACATACATACATACATACATACATACATACATACATACATACATACATACATACATACATAACGTTACGTTACGTTACGTTGCGTTACGTTATGTTACATTAAGTTACATTACATTACATGACTTTACATTACATACATTACATTAAATTCCGTTACATTACATTACATTACGTTACGTTACATTACATTACATTACATACATACATATATATATATATAGAATCTCAGTGAACTGAGATTCCCCAGCGACGATTCGTTCCCGGGGCGGCACCGTTTGACTTCAGCTGCAACGTCCTTATATCTCTGACGTTCTTCCTCATCTGAAACGTACAAGATCACCCGATGTGCCGGTATCCTGCCATGACCAGAATGCCAGCAACTCAGATTTTAATGGCATAGGATGGCATAGGTCAAAGTAGCAATACTGGTAGCACGAGGCTGTAGTGATATATGATATATGGATTCGGCCTTTTTTGTCGATGTGGTAAATTATGTGAACCACAGAAACAAGGTGAACCGATTTATCAGGTAACATGGGTAGTTGACGGGAGCAAAGAATTGGCTGGGTGATTTGCTGAAAATTATGGGTTAAAACCCTGGTCCCCTCACCAAAGTAGCTGGTATAGCTGGATTGTTATTCCTCCAGTCATGTGGGAATTTCTAGGTAACTTGACCTACAAATTGGTATCCAATCTCTCTAAGATTAAACACCCCCCCCCAGAAACCATGGAGGATGTACAGTTATGGCCCTTAACAGTTATAAATGGAACCCATCTATAGCTGTTAAGGGCCACAACTGTAGGGAATTTCAAGAATCTTTCGCAATACGCTCAAAGTTCATGAGCACGGACCAACCTTGGACTTTGTTTACTTTCGTAACCATCCAAGTTTTGATTCCTCGCTGGGAATGTTGACACTTAGAATAGTCTAAGTATAACTGTTCCAAGTGATATTTTGAATATGACACTAAGTATCAACTTATAATAACTTATAATATTCCAGTCTGCTGGCACATTGTAGTCTGCTGGCACTATCGTTTTCAATGTGGACGCAACGACTGCATCCGTTGATCAGGACCCTGTGGCCCTGTGGCGATGGCTGCGACTGCAGCGTGTCAGACCTTGATGTTAAGATACGGTGGATGGTTGCGAAATCCTGCATCACCTTGGATGGCTGAAACCCTATAACTATAAATAATGGGATAAGCCATCTATGAACTGGTGCAGGATTTCTTCCATCCACTGTATGTTTAGGCATTTGAGAGTTGATTCGCACTCATCCAGGTCCTGACTTGGGGATTCCCTGTACTTATTCATCTGGGTTTGTCTGCAAATAGGCTAAGGGAAACCCCCAAAATCTTACGGTAAATGATCATTCTTCCTATTCAAATGGCAATGCCTGGAGGGTATTCGACGCATTTTATGCATTTTCAGACAGATCCATACTGGCTTAAATCCAAGAACTGAAAACAGAAGTTCGTTCAGTGTGTCAAACAGCTGGCTATAACCACTGGAAACGACCTCATAGTCGTGTCAGACAGTCGGATGATTTCATGTTTTACTAAAGACACTTACTTTATCTCATTGTGTGAGTAGCAAAACATTTGGGTATAAACACATATTGTTGGTGAAAACATGTTCTTGTATCAAATTACACCATCTGGCAATTAAACATGGCAATGGCAAATCCCCTTTAAATGGAGGTTTCAATGGGACAACATCATCTAAACATGATTGTTTTTCCAGCTAGCCACGTTTGACTACTGGACAGTAATCATTTCAACACATATTGGATGAACACATGTGAACACTTCCTCCATGTGCACTCCACTTTGACCATCCTTGACCCCTTGGCGTTGCCAACAATGCCGCGCCCTATACTTAGCCAAGCTGGGATGGCTAGGGTTAATGATGGATAGATGGATAGTTCCCTGTGTGAATCTAGGACAACATATAACTTGGAGGGCACCATATCAGTTCACCTGAAAAAAACGGTAGCCCGTAGCCCATTCCAGCCCAGTGTTGATCATTTTTGTTTGACGTCAAGATCAGTGAAATGGCAATTTCAGTGTATTCCCCGCGTTTTGTGACACACCCAGAAGGTACACTAAACCCATCTTTGACCGGATCAAACCCCATAGACCCCAAATACAGTGGGTATATACCTGGGGAGACATCCCAGCTGGTAAGGTGATGAACCCAGGTCAATGGCAATTCCAAGAACCCAAATTGGAGGTACCTACCATATATAAGGCCTATGCAAGGGCTAAATTTCAGGGAATACCCACACAAAATATGGCCAGAAATATGGTACTAACGTACCTCCATTTTAGGATCCTGAAATTCCCATTGACAACTGAGGATGTCT